AATAGATTTCAGAAGTAGGGATGGAAACAGGAAGAATCAGATTTGGGAGTATGGAAAGAGAGAGTACTGGAAGAGACCATAGAAAAGGAGGGAATTTCAGGGTCTGGTAGAAACCTAGTGGAATGGAAAGTCCCAGAAATCTCCAAGAGTAACCCTAGCTAAGACTCCTAGCAATAACGGCTTTGGAGCCAGAACTAGCCACGTTCTGTGACCAGATAAGACTCTCAGTGAAGGGATTGTGATACCTACATGTTCTTAGCCACTATAGACCACAACCGTAGTTCCTGATCCTCCAGCCTCAACCTTTAGAGTGCTAAGATTACAACTGTGAGCCACCATATCTGGTTTATATAGTTCTGAATATCAGATGCAGGGCTTTATGCATGCTAGGTAAACACTTTTCCACTTGGTTTCCTGAAATTCGGATATGAGGGCAATCTGGCTGCAACATCTGTCACCCTGTTGATCACCAGGGGTGATATGGCTGATCTGGCTTGGTAGGTGTGTGTCCTGCTCCCTGTGAGTTCCTCCTGAAGCTGCACATTCAGTTGAAGAGGATGACCCTCCTCAGATAGAGAAGGACCAGTCTTCCATCAAGAGTATTCCAGTAGCTGCACTCTCCTGCTAGAACCTCCAAACAAGTTCTCAAGGTTTCCTGAAATTTTAAAATATACCTTCTTGGTACTATGCGAAATCCCATAGTTCTGTCACTGAAAAACAAATGTGATAAATAAAACAATATTCTAAAATCTGTCAGCTAGAGCCTTAAGATTTTGCTGGGTGTGGTGGTACACGCCTTTAATACCAGAATCCCGAGACAGAGAAACGCAGACCTACCTCTGTGAGTTCCAGGTCAGCCTGGTCTACAGACCATGTTCCAGAACAGCTAGGGCGGTGACACAGAGAAACTCTGTCCCAAAACAAACAACAAACAAATACAAAAGAAAAATAAATAAACAAAACACACACACACACCCCAAAGAAAAAAAGAAGAAAAAAGAAAGGAAGAAAGATATAAAATTGGAAGTCATTAAAGGACAAATGCTATTTAGGGCCCAGGTGGATGAAAACTCTCCAAGCGACTGACTGAATTGAAACAAAAACAGTCTAGGGTCTGACAGTTCCACAGGCACTGAGTGTCAGAACTCAGCAAATGCTGACATTGCTAAGAAGACAGTGCCAAACAACGAGATCTGTCTCTAAATCTAAAGGTAAAGGGCGGGAAGGACCAGCAATCCATGTAAACCCCTTACAGGTCCTGTTTGGGGTGAGCCACCTAGAGCTTCTGATTTAATTGCTGGAAGGGAGCAGTCAGCTTTGGGACTTGACCTGAAAGTAAATGCCTGCAATCCCATCCATCTACTGCAGAGGCAGAGGCAGAGGCAGAGGCGCAGAGGCAGAGAGGCGCAGAGGCAGAGAGGCGCAGAGGCAGAGAGGCGCAGAGGCAGAGAGGCGCAGAGGCAGAGGCAGAAAGATCACAAGTTCAAGGCCTGCCTGGGCAATCAGACCTGGTCTCAAAAGGATGATGTGAGACAGTGTCTGTATGCTTGACCCCTGATTTAGGCTCCAGCATCCTTAGCAAGCAAAATCTGGCTAAACCTCAAAATTCCCTTTCAAATGAGGTAACATCTACATTCCATGACTACAAACTTTGTCCTTTAACTGTGTGTCTTCCATGTTACAGTACTTGCTCCTTTTCCACTTGCTAAGCAGCACCAAAGACATTTGTCACCAGTAAGGGATCCTTTTTATCTTAAATATAAAAAGGAGTAATAGTGTTTACTCAGCAATTTTACATAGCGATTTAAGGTTAATAGCTCCCACGAAGTCAATCCATCACCAGGACAGGACAAATGATTATTCATTTATTTATTTATTTATTTGCTGCGCCCACACAGCCAGAGTACCGAGCTTGGCGGAGGGTGTCGGGAATGAAACACTTAATGAGAAGTTAAGAAGCTGCTGCCACTAATGTTTATTACAGAGAGTAATGGGCTTATATACCCAAGCCAGGGAATTCGCTAAGCATAGGAGGAAATTATGCACCACCCACACCTGGGGTCAAGGCACAGGCACTGCACACCTGAAAGTTATGACAACAACCTTGTTTGATCAACCTTGAGAGCACCGGAGTTCTACAACTGGGTGGAGAGGAAGACAGTTGTAAGGGACAAGTACTTAAATTTCCCAACAGTTATTTATTTTTATGTAGCACTCACTATACACTACACAAGATTACTTGCTGCTAAGAAGGAAATCGATAAAATACCACGTAAACCAGACACTGGTGGTGGGGACTGGAGGATAGGGCAGGACACAATTTATGATGTTTTATGTGTTATGTGACAAAACACGTTCAGGGAAGCACAGACATATGGCTGCATGGTGAATAGGGAAGTCCAATGGTTAAAAAGAGAAGAAGCCAAAGTGACAAGATCTTGACATTTATTGTAGCATAGGGTGGTGTCCACAACTTGAGCACTGCATGTAGCTCACTTTCCTATGGCACACAGAAGTGAGGTTGTTAGTCATAAACACATTATCACTCCAAACTATACAGACTACAAGGTCTTGACTGGGTTCGTTTTCTCTGCTAAAGAATTCAAAGGCAGAAATTCCCAGGTAGCAGTAGCCTCGGAAAAGAGCAGCAGACAGAAACAACAGATAAGAAAGGCAATTATTGTGGGGGAGGAAAAACACATTTGCAACTGACACACCCAGGAGTAAGTAGATCTTGTGTGCACACTGGAAAACCCAGTCAGTCTCTTTCCCGAGAGTTGGGTTTATTTTCCTCCCCTACTTTAGATCTGGTAGTCAGTATATTAAGATCGGATGGCTGGGTAGCTGTTGGATTTTGTAGCCTTACAGAAATTACATAGACAAAGACGTAGAAACAGGAGACGCACACGAATTAAGCAACAATAATGGATCTTTCATTCAGGGATTCCCGATTACCACATGATGCGATGGAAATGACAGATCAGGTAGGTAACCGACTGAACCACTTAACAGACCTGAAGGTCCTGGGAATTTCCCCCCCGTGAGCCGACTGCAAATAAAGTTTCATGTGGGTTTTTGCAGGCTTGTGTTTAGTTTCCCAAACAGAAACAGGGTTTTTCTGTGTACCCTGGCTGTCCTGGAACTCGTTCTATAGACCAGGCCCGACTGGAACTCAGCTACAGCAACATCTGCCTCCCAGGTGCTGGGATTAAGATAGTTCTATAAGGCTTAAAACCTCGGACAGATGTAAAATGTTAACCTTTTATATGCACGCTACCACTTTGATGCTAAGCCAAACGAGGCACAATGGGAAGAACAGGCTTTTGAACAATATACTGGTGCCTGAAAATCCCAGTTAGTAACAAGGTAAAAACCAATAAATAGGAACGCCACAACTATGCACTACTCACATACATGCTGAGGGGTCCTGGGAGTGCGGCACTCGCCAGTGCTGCAGCTCTTTAGGGAGTCGAGTGATTGGCCCTGAAAAGGGCCTTTAGAGAAGAGAAAGAATAAAGGACAAAGAAAGCTGAGCAGCTCAGCCACCGAAGCCGTAGAGGGTGCGGCCCTGGCGCTTGAGCGCGTAGACCACGTCCATGGCAGTGACGGTCTTGCGCTTGGCGTGCTCCGTGTAGGTGACCGCGTCGCGGATCACGTTCTCCAGGAACACCTTCAGCACCCCGCGGGTCTCCTCGTAGATGAGGCCGGAGATGCGCTTGACTCCGCCACGGCGAGCCAGGCGGCGGATGGCGGGCTTGGTGATGCCCTGGATGTTGTCGCGGAGGACCTTGCGGTGGCGCTTGGCGCCGCCCTTGCCCAGGCCTTTACCACCCTTGCCGCGACCAGACATGCTCTGAGCTGAGAAAGGGATCCGACTGACGGCAAAGGCAAGACAGCAGTTCGCTCTTATAGGGAACGTGCGGACCGGAGTGAAAACAGGAAGCGCAGTGGCGGGAAGTGCTTGTGCCTGGGGGAGGCGGGGGGTGTAGGGGCCCTCGGCGCCAATTTAACACACTTAACGTTTTCCTTTTAGTACTATTTATATACGACCATGTTTATTTAACTTGGATGCATCGAGCAACGGAAGAGTCAGGTGCGGACTCTTAATGTTTGCGAATTTTTAAAGAGCTTTTTACCGTTTTCGTTGAATGGGTTCCCTGTCGTGTCCTTACAAAACAAAAACAAAACTCATTATAGAATATACAAACAGGACGGTCGTTGGTGGCGCACTCCTTTGATCCCTGCGCTCAGGAGGCAGAGGCAGGCAGATATCTGTGAGTTCGAGGACAGCTGTATATACGTAATAAACAAACTCTTTAAAAAACATGTAGCGTCTACACTTATATTCTTCCCACCACTGGGGCATGAAGTATGCTATTTAACTCTAAAGCTATAGTTCAAGGACCGAATCATCTAATGATAATGACAAGAAGTAGTTTCATTCATTGATGCTACACAACAGGGCGGTGGTGACGCACCCCTTCGACCCCGGAGGCAGGCGGATCTGGCCAGCTTGGTCAGCCCTGGCTTCACAGAGAACCCCGACCTCGAAAAACAAACACAAATCAAGTTTGTTAGCCCGCCCCGGTGACCCCCAAGGCGGATGTGTTCAGCAGGAGGCCAGGGTGAGCTCCATGACAGCTAGGCCTACGCACTGAAAAGCCTGTGTCGGGAAAAATACAAACTCCGCAGCTTCTGGGTTTAAAACATAAACGCGGCAACCAAGAGATTGTCAACACTTAAATGCTTTAACTCCATAGTTGAAACAGGTGTGACTTAAGTACACAAGAGAGACAACTACGAACTATTATGTGACGCCTAATGGTAAACCCCAGATGGGAAGCTGTCAGGGAAATGTAGATAGACTAAACCTTAGGTTCTAAAACGTAGGCCCAAACTTGCCACAACACTGTCCCGAGGGCACAAATCGCAGTCCTAAGAAAATGTAACTGCACAAACTGTCGTTGTGCTGTACAAGTGTCCAGCGCTTCAAAAAGACATTTGTGGATGGCTCTGAAAAGAGCCGTTGGTCTGACTTTTGGAGTGATTTTGGTCGAATTAGCAGCTCATTTTCCTTTGGGCTTGTGGTGGCTCTCGGTCTTCTTGGGCAGCAGCACGGCCTGGATGTTGGGCAGGACGCCGCCCTGCGCGATCGTCACGCGGCCCAGCAGCTTGTTGAGCTCCTCGTCGTTGCGGATGGCCAGCTGCAGGTGGCGCGGGATGATGCGCGTCTTCTTGTTGTCGCGGGCCGCGTTGCCGGCCAGCTCCAGGATCTCGGCAGTCAGGTACTCCAGCACGGCCGCCAGGTACACCGGGGCGCCGGCGCCCACCCGCTCCGAGTAGTTGCCCTTGCGGAGGAGGCGGTGCACACGGCCCACGGGGAACTGCAGGCCGGCCCGGGAGGATCGGGTCTTGGCCTTGGCGCGAGCCTTGCCGCCCTGCTTGCCGCGTCCAGACATGGCAGAAAAGGAACAGCCGTTCAACAACTGAGTAGAGTCTGAAGGGGCAAGAGCTTGGCCCTTATAGTGTCCTCTGGGCGCGAAAAAGAACCCGTGCGATTGGCTGGCTTCTTCTTCTCATTTACACCAATGGGAAGGGTTTGTGCCAACGCGTATTTCGATTGGGCCATAGCTTTAGATGACGTCACAGACGCATCGCCCAATCACAAGTGGAACTTTCTAAGACTCATTTGAATAACGGCTTATAAAAAGGTACCGGCCGGCACTCTGGCCGTTGGAGCTCCAGGAGTTGGTCTGTCAAGATGCCTGAGCCTGTAAAGTCCGCGCCCGCCCCGAAGAAGGGCTCCAAGAAGGCCGTGACCAAGGCGCAGAAGAAGGACGGCAAGAAGCGCAAGCGCAGCCGCAAGGAGAGCTACTCGGTGTACGTGTACAAGGTGCTGAAGCAGGTGCACCCCGACACGGGCATCTCCTCCAAGGCCATGGGCATCATGAACTCGTTCGTCAACGACATCTTCGAGCGCATCGCGGGCGAGGCTTCCCGCCTGGCGCATTACAACAAGCGCTCGACCATCACGTCCCGGGAGATCCAGACGGCCGTGCGCCTGCTGCTGCCCGGGGAGCTGGCCAAGCACGCCGTGTCCGAGGGCACCAAGGCCGTCACCAAGTACACCAGCTCCAAGTGAGCTCGGTGAACTCGCTCTTGACACAAAGGCTCTTTTCAGAGCCACCTACAGTTTTCAACGAAAAGAAGCTGCTGCACATACGTCTTCCTGTAGCCAGTCCGTTTCAGGTACTGTACTGTACGTGAGGACGTGTTAACTTTTTGTTGCTTTTAGCGTTCAGCAGGTCTCCTCCCTCCCGTCCTGGGTTTACGGTACCGGGTTTCCTAGGAGACGCTCTGCTCTGCCTGTTAATATTGATTGCCAATAAGTGAAGGATACGGGAAAGGCAGCTGCTAAGGTCCCTGGTCTTGGCGTTACTTACCGGGCCATGCTGAAAATTGTTGGCAAACCTAAAATGGTTAGGGCAGTGAGTAAGGCAACTGTTCATTTTCCTTAAAGGGGATGCTTTGGGGCAGTGAAATCTTCTGCTGGGAGACGGGGCACCCAAATGAATAAGCGGACACAGTAAATATTAACCGTATTTGCTTGGAGGATCAGTGAGTACTCCGGGACACGATCGGTCGGGGAATATTGCAGGCTATTGGTTCCCTGGGTTGCTGTCTGTATTTCCAGGGTAAAGAGAAGTGTAAGTATTTTAGGCAAGGAAAAAGATCCACCGAGATGCTTTTGCGCTTGTTACCTACCAAGATGTAGGTGTCAAAACTGAAGGAAAATAAGAACCTTACAACCTAGGTTGGTTTAGGAATGGAAAGACTATAGCTTTAGGTCCCAGCTTTATTAGTCACTGGGTGTTCCTCTGTAGAATAAATATGCCTTCAGAGCATCACCCACACCTGCAAAGAGTAGGCGAAATCACTGGGTTTTGTTTAGTGACCAGTAAGTTAACATCTCACTTTCTCCCAATTAGTGACTTTTCAAGATGCTAAAGTACAGTTTTTAGTGTTCTTGCTAACCACCAAAGCCACCTCTATCGCCTAGGCCGTTTGCTATGTAGTAAACATGTCTACTATTCACCTAATAATCTTGATAGGATAGAAACGGAAAATCATGAATAAGCCTCCCTGACCATTGTGCTCAGCCATGCTGGTAGCCTGTAAATTGATAAAAGAAGAAGGGGCGGGGGGCGGGGGGTGGGAGGCGGGAGGCGGGGGGTGGGGGGGGGGGGTGGGGGGGGGACAAACAAACAAACAAACAAACAAACAAAAAACTTTGAAGGAAAATGTAGTAATAGCTATCGGAGTTAAGTATGCATGTATCCTTCACACCCTGAAATTCAATCTCTGATATATATGTTTTTGAAAACGTGTTGCAGTGCGGTGGTGGTGCACGCCTTTAGTCCCAGCACTGGGAAGGCAGAGGCAGGAGAATGTGAGTTTGAGGCCAGCCTGGTCTACAGAGCGAGTTTCAAGACAGGCGGGGCTAGACAAAGAAAAAGAAAAGAAAAGGAAAAACATGTAAAAGGTTAATTTTCTTTTATTTTGCCTTTGTTGTCTCTTTCAGTGGCACAGTTTGTAATTCACAAGACTAGACGCAATCTGATCCACAACAACACAGATGCTGACATGGACCTTTGCAGTGTGCTATGTCATGATTTTAAAATCCTTCATAGTTGCTATGTCATTTCATTTTCTGGTTGTTCTTCATGACAGGGTTTCTCTGTCCTGCAACTTGCTTGCTTTGTATATACTAGGCTGGCCTCGAACTAAAAACACCCACCTGCCTCTGCCTCTGCCTCTGCCTCTGCCTCTGCCTCTGCCTCTGCCTCTGCCTCTGCCTCTGCTTCCAAGGTGCTGGGATTAAAGGTGTATGCCACCACACCCAGACTGTCACTTTATCTTCAGGGCACCCTTGTAAGGTAAATCACACTTGTGCCCTAAACTCCAGATCACAAGACACATGTTCAGTGACATTAAGAAATTGCCCAAGTTTGCACAGCTAATAAGCTACAACTCCAGCTCCTCAGCATCCAACACCCACTTCCCACCTAGGGCACCCACACACATGCCATACATTCACACGGATAAAAATACATTCACACAAATGAAAATAAAAGGAAAGATCCAATAATCAAATGTACCAAGTAGGCTGTATTAGGGTCCTTGTATCTGAGGAATATAAGGAAAATTCTAAAACCTAAAAAATTCTAGTGAAAATGGCTGTACTTCTTTCTGTAAAAGCTGTAATACGATTATGACTTGACTCAGCAATACACTGAAGTTTTCTAGTCACAAAACTTTGAGATTTTAAGTATGCCAAGTACAATTGTGCACATGTACCTGTAATGAAACTTGTTGGAGTATCTATGTCATTGTACATTTGGAATCATGATTTTTTTTTTTTTTCCCCATATCTGGAAAACATTAGGGAGGCTAGAAAGAGTTGAAATAATAGGACTATTTTATTTCCACAAATATTATGATCAAATTCTATCTCTTTGCCCTTCAAATCTGAAGGGGTGGCGGAAGGAAAGAAAAATTAAATTTAAATTTAAAAACAATAACACATTTGAGGACATGTAGCATCGAATTTCCTCAGTGGTGTTCCCTAGAATTTACTTGGACAGAACTTACTTGGAAACACTGACCTGGAACATCAGTGTTTGTATGGATAGGAAATAAAAAAAAATTCTTAGTAGAAGACTTTCACTTTTGTAGGAACTGTCACAAGAAGAGAGGAGAAAAACAAGAAAACCTACCGGCGTGACTAAGCAGATGAATCTAACCCTCCAAAGTAGGGCCCTCGTATGAAGTGAGACAGAAGTCACAACTTTTAGACCCTTGGTGACAAAGGGCAAACGTCTGAGATGTTGAGGCCACAGAGGTGGTAGCACAGGTACGCAGACAGTAGTCCCTTTGACCACTAACCCTGAACAGGAACTTGTTAGGGGTAGAAAACCACCCTGTTTTCAAGAAGCTTTATGATTCAAAAAGACAATTTCTACAACAGGAAAAACAAATAAACAGTGCAGACTAAGGCGAAATGATTATTACAGGGAAAGAACTAAATGGGAGCTACCTACTACAGAGGGTTTGACACTCCTCCCAGAAGCCATAGGCATCTGATATTAAAAACCTACTGCCAGAAGTGGGAAACATCTACTGAGTAGTCAATAGGAGGTATACCAGAGACAGCCCTCACCCCCACCCAAAAAATACAGCTATCGCTTCTGGTTGGCCATCATAACTTCCTGGTAAGACCGGAGTTGTATAGCAAGATATGCCCAGGGGTGTAATAAAGGCACACATATTATAAGGGAGAACAACCATTTCCTGATTGGATTTAAGGATGGCTCCATTAGAAGATACTATAAATCTGGCCAAGAAGCCATCATCGGGGAGCTCAGAGGCCCCAGGAGAGGACCTAATACTATTATTCTGTGAAATGGACATAGGATCAAGCTGCCCTCTAAATTCATAACTTACTACCCATAGATTGGCACAGCTCTCAGGCCTCTTCAGAGACATTTCTTTATGCCCTATAGGCGGTGGTTAACACAGAAAATCAACAAGTTGTGAAAATGCAAAGAATATGTGCCAAGTGGGACATCTCTATCAAACACTCATAACTAAGTAAGTCTCGGGGACCATTGTGGAAGAGGGGGCAGGAAGACTGTGAGGGCCGGAAGTCAGGGAAGACTAGAGTGAAGCAGCTTTCTCTGGGTGTGATAGGGCCGCCACGCTCAGGGACTCACAGCAGCTGTGGTTGCTTGCACAGCATCCTATGCGGAGGAGAAGGTGATTCATGAGCCCTCCCCACTAAGGAGGTATGCGACACGAATAATAAAAACACAGACTGATATTGGGGTTCGAGTTGATGGTCAGATAAGCAAAGCAGCCAAGCCACTAGCTCTTAACCACTACCGCAGACTGAAAGAAATAAAGAATAAAAGAAACAGTCATACAGGCCCTGCCCAGCCCTGCCCTGCCTTTGAGAGGATGCTTCGATGGAAGGGCACAGGCGAGCAAGGATTTCCCTGCCGGACAGGTTCCCCAGAAAACCGGACAGGACGTTCGCCAGAGATGGGAGGGGCTCGGGATCATGCTATGAGGCAGAACCGTCCTTGGACCGAAAGACTTTGGCCTCTTTGACCTTGCCCTGCAAAATGTGATGAAAAGTCAGTTTTATGCTTCAGAGAAGCCAAACTACCCACGTGTTGTCAACACATGCCTCGAGAGGGCAGTAGAGTTTCAGTGAAAAATGACATTTAAAAATCTGCAGGCAGAGGGATGAGTTCAGTTCCCACTGGAAAATCTTCTCAGGACAACATGCCAGCTGGCCCTGTGCCTATGATGTAAGGATTGGTGCTCTAAATTTTGAATCCAGTGATTTCAGTTCAAATCTTGGTGGGACCATCTAGGTTTTTCATTATTGGGTAATCTT